AGATTTTGATTGAGGCTGATCAGGGAGGGCAGTGGCTTGAACTGTAATTGACAGAACCCCGGATGGATCATATATCAGCCAGCACCTTCCTCTCCGGGTTCAATAAATCACTCTACTCTCAGTTATTTGTTAGTCTTTTTATATCTCTGCGTCTCATCTCTCCATTTCTGCATTTTTCACTTCTTCGATTCCTCACATCTTTCTTCACCTCCCTATCCGTATTGAATAATAATCGATTTGTTAATTGTAACATTCGCTTTTGATTGTCCTAACGCAAGGATTCATCACTTATTTAACTCATTTAATAGATGAGACATCGTGAATAATATTCCCAATTGAAATTTTAATTTTGGAGATACTAAAAACTACCTCAAGAAAATAAAACTGCTTCAAGAAAAATATTTAATATCCGATTGTAAATTCTACAAATGTAATCCTCCATACAATACTTCCATTTGCGCTTGCGTAAGTCTATTTTTTTAAATTTTTTTATCTTTATTTTATAAGCGCCTTGTTTAATTTTGCTCAAAATTGGTTGAAAGTTTAGCTTCATTGTATAATCAATCATTTATCAATTCTATGGAATTCCATTTAGCAAATCAAATTAATGTAATTTTTAAAAATATTATGACTGCTACGCGCGATAACCCATTAACATATCAATATAGGGAGTACATATTTTAATTTAACTTAATGAGATTTATTACATTTTTATAGGATTATTCTGTAAACAATTTTTAGTATTTAATTTGAGTGATTTATACTTCTGTACGGAGTTTCCATTACATGCAAGCAAACAAAGGATAAATATGAAACCAAGATAGTGAATGTTAAGAATATGACAGTGACTCTGAAAATATAAAAGAGAGAAATTTTTGAAACATCTAAATGTAACGCAATGACACTAAATTTTTTTGTACATTATTTTCTGAATAGAAATGATGGAGAAGTTATGCTGGCTTACTTGGCAAACGTTTTTGTATTCATATTCTATTGGAATATACAGTTTAAATCCGGTAATCCAATTTGCAATTGAAGCAACGGCGATTAACATAAATACTAAAAAGTATCACTGATAGCGAAAACGTATCTTTATACAGTAAAATATTATTGAATGAAAATGTATAATTTGTTATTAAATGAAACCAATTGACCTCTTTTTAGTCTCAATTTTACAAAAGATCTGTAAAATCAAAAGAAAAGAAAACTATCCTAGGTAGAACCTAACTAGGTAGAAAAAAAATCTCCTTAGTTACCCCTAACCAAGGAAAGGTATTCTTTTGGGCAGTTCTAGTGAAAAAGAGTTCAGAGAAGTTGACCTGAAGTTCCATTCTATTTCTCTGTTCACACAACTTACAAAAAAAAAAATAATCTGAAGTCATTTTAACATTGTGTTAATCTCACAAACTAAAACGATGAGTAGGTAACGCTTCGTTCATCAAACTCTTCAAAACAAGTAAAAACTTTTATTTTAAACACCAAGGAATGATTCAGTTCCATATCCGTAATTTTCAGTTAGATGTTCCTCCTTCACCGGTAATTTCCACGATATTCGGCTAATTATACCTTTTGGATTCCTTGAAGCTAGTTCTCCGATGATTCCTGCCATAAACATAGATATGGCCCCAGGTTGGAGCGTGATGAACATGTACTACAAAACCACCGGGTTCACTAACTGTTTTTGAAAAAAAGTTTTGAGAAAATCGTTTTCGTAAAAAAGGTACTAATTGGCACATTTTCGCAGACGGCGTACTTAACCTCAGGTGGCGCCAAAAGGCTATTGAACTGTTAATGTAAGTTAGGAAATTGTACCATTCCTTACATCTTATAATTCCAGAAATTAAATTATAAAATGAAATAAATAGTTAAAGTGGTCAAATTTCCTAATAATTATTTTCCAATTTTTTTTTATTAAGTAACGATTTTCTTTTATCTGGTAATAATCATATTTACTTTCGTGTAAGAAAAAAAATATGTCATTTAAATATTGTTAAGGTAAGATCTTTTTTTTTTTTTTTTTTATTCTTACGATTAGTTACAATTGTGTATTTCGTTAGACAATAGGTCTTATGCGTTATCGTCGGTATTCTATGACAGTCCGATAGCCCGTAAGAAAATTCGAAATTATTTGATGAAATATTTAAAAATATTTCTTGAAAATTTTATAACATTTATGTTATTAATGAAATGAGAGCCTACCTATCGGATCTTGCTACCTGTAAAAATGACGGGTGATTTAATGAATATTAGACCAATAACTTGAGGATCGGATAGGGAAATTAATTGTGAAAAAAAATTTTATTTCTTTAACTTGTATAAATATTGTATATAGGCATGTATGTGTTATTTTATTTATTTATTTTTAGGTTATTTTATTCTTATTTATTGTATATATGTTATTTTTCTGTATAATTTATTTTATTTACTGTACATAGAGAGTGAATGTGATCTGTTAACACTATTATAAATGTCCTTGAGACAGATTGTAATATTTTTCAATAAAAAAAAAAAAAAAAAAAAAAAAAAATTGTATAAATGGGTTCAGACATTAAAAAAACAAAATCGCTAACGCGGGCCATCAAGAGAAAACTTTTTACAGCCAAAAAAGCAGAATTGTTTCGATATTTTTTTATTTTATACCTATAAATCCTAAACGGTGCATCGAAGCGAAAAAGAAATTAAAGAGCGTTAAATTATGCGTCGAATGAGTACCTAAGCATACCACTTTTTTAAGTGATATAGTCGATAATCATGGTCAATGAAGGCTGATTTTTACCAAATTCGTCAAAAATTGAGATAAATTACTATTAATGGCCCTAAAGCTTGGAAATGAGTTCTCTAACAGAAAAAAATCCATAGAATAAAAGTTGTAGATTAGTAATAGGTATTATATATATATATATATATATATATATATATATATTTTTTTTTTTTTTTTTTTTTTTTTTTTTTTTCTAAGTCTTGCATTGCGAAAGAGTTAAGGATAATTTAGAGTGTTTGTCAAGTTGCCTGGGAAAGATTACAAATCGTTTGTTCAGGTTTTTTCTTCTATTGTCGGCCCAAGACTTCCATCGTTCCGTTCTTATCTTCTCAATGTAGTATGAGTTCTCCATAGGAAATATGTATAACAGAAAAATATTTACAGTATATTAACTATAATATAAATTCATAAAAGAATTATTTTCAGTTTCAAGAATAAATTTAAAAATTAAATTCAAGTAGTGAATTTTTACATAGACTATTTTATACATTGTGAAAATAATCACCTTTCTATAACGAGAAAGGTGTTAACTTTTTTGAACATAATATATTTACAGAAAGTTATGGATGTAAACCATTTTAAGTGTAAAAAATGTCGCCACATAATTTGATTGTTCTTTTAACAGTATCTAACGATACAAATCCTTTAACAGCATTAGTAGATTTCAAATAACTTCAATTATTATAAGTTGTCCCTAGGTGATTAATATATATATTTTTTTATTTTAAGTGAAGTGTATGGAATATATATAACATATAACTGAAATGATCAGTTTTTGATAAGCTAAAAAGTACATCAACGTAAGAAGGTCGGACATCGTCTTCTCCAACATAATACAAGTCTGGCGGTTCCTTAACGAGCCATAATAAAATATTTGCAGACGCCTCCAGCATTCGGACAGGAGTATTGACTGAAAGAGAAGACAGATTTGCGAAGGGGCGGTTGAAAGTTGTGTTCTTTGGCTACCTGTGAAGCAGGCACGGTTCCTTCAGTTTAAATAAACGAATCTCATTCAGCCTTACCGTTGGGGCATGATTCTGATATTTTAGAGAACAGAGCGATAGCAGATTGTTAGTAATAAAAAATTATATATTGATAAATCTTTAGCCATCAACGTAACCACGAATAAAAGTTATGGTCAAAATTTCTTTATGTAGTGGTCAGGTCAAGTTAGACGACCACTACCTGTTATTGATTCATGAAACAGTACCTAATCAGTAACCGTGACTCTAGTTTAGCTTAAAATGTTTTTTATTATAAAGAATTCAGATTAGGGAATGGTTTAAAAGCTTTATGTTTTTCAAAATAATCACAGGGGGTATTACCTTCCGGGTTATATTAAATATTTGCATTTTTTATACAATTACTTCTATCTACAATCAACTGCAATACATCCCCCATATCATTTCCACCACAGGAGACGGCTTCGCTCTGCTAACTTCTCGCTTAAGGAATGAGGTACCATAACACACTGACCCTTTGAGAATTATCGAGATGATGGGGGCTAGGAGGCAGGCGAGGCTAGAAGGCCAAGGTTTTTTGCTTCGACCCTCGGCCATGTCATCTTTATAAATAATTCAGGATGGGACGAGAAGAGGAGGGCGGAGGACCCGGTGAAAAAGAATGGAACAGGATTCCGAAGGGGGGATTATAGCTCCCGTCCCTCCGTTTGTCTTAGCGGCATCACAACAAGTTTTTCTCTCCTCATTTGACCGGTTCTAGGGCTCCCCCTGGAAGGCTGGGGGACCTTCTTTTTGACAAATACCGTCTTAAAAACATTTAATGCCAATTATTGTCCGTGTTTGCTTAGCTTCTCCCGCTCCTTCTAAGAACACCCTCCCAATCTTGCCGAAAAAAACTACGAATCTCCAATGGACATTTGGTAACACAGCAGTCTTCTCCGGCATCTAGATTATATTAATTCCTATTAATCAGATGTCTTTCGTTAATTAAATAACAATCTTGAAGTTTGATTTCATAGCCATTAAAACTACTTCATCAAATAATATCTACAGTAAGAAGAATTATTTGATTAAACAAGGAAAAATATCATATTTTTTTTTAGCAAACTCATGTGTATTTTTACGTCATACTCACAAAGTTCATCGAGATAACGGAATTTAATTGTTATTGTTCTTGTTATTGTTTTTTATATTGTTATTGTTATTAACTAAGTGTTATTATTTAGGAATGTTGGAAAAAATAATAACTAATTGTTACATGATGTTTTCTGTTTCAGACGGGAGATGCGGTGGGACGGCGAAGACGAGCCATGATCCTTGTTCTCCTACTAGTAGGGGCGGCGGCGGCGGAGTACGGGGCCCAGATGCAGTCCCGGGCGGTGGAGACCCGAGTCCAGTTCGAGGTCCCAGAAGGAAGGCCCAAGGGCACTATCGTCGCGACTATCCCGACCAAACCCGGCTTCACCTACCGCTTCAACGAGCCGCCCCGGGAGTTCACGCTCAACGGCACCACTGGGGAGATAAGGACTACCACCGTGCTCGACCGGGAAGCTCTCCACAACGACCGCTTCGACCTCGTAGTGCTCTCCAGTCAACCTACCTATCCCATCGAAGTACGGATAGTTGTAGTCGACATCAACGACAACTCGCCCGAATTCCCCGAACCGAGCATTGCAGTGTCTTTTTCCGAAAGTTCTGTAGCGGGGACGAGGGTGCTACTCGACTCCGCTACTGACCTCGACTCAGGACAGAATGGTGTTTCTGACGATTATAGAATAGTAGCAGGTAATGTCAAAGACAAATTCCGGCTAGAAGTTACAGCCAACCCCAGCGGGGAAACAAGTTACCTTCATTTACAAACGACGGGGGATCTGGACCGAGAAGAAAGATCACATTACCAACTCAATATTTCTGCAAGAGATGGAGGAACTCCAACCCGTTATGGATACCTTCAAGTAAACGTTACTATATTAGATGTAAATGATAACCCACCAATATTCGACCACAGTGACTACAATGTATCCCTCAACGAAAGTGTAGTTCCCGGAACAAGAGTCTTACAAGTCATGGCGACAGACAACGACATAGGAGACAATGCTAAAATCACATACTACCTTTCAGAGACCGAAAGGAAGTTCACTGTGGACCCGGAAACAGGTGTCATAACGACGGCTGAACCTCTCGACTGCCCACAACAAAATTGTCTACCATCACCAAGGTTCGGAGGCGGTTGTCCGAAAAGTTGTGTGTTTACAGTGTACGCAAGGGATCATGGATCGCCCCGTCAAGACGGAAGGACGTATGTGACAGTGAATCTAGTCGACGCAAACGATCATGATCCCATAATTAAATTTAGGTATTTTCATTCTGCAAAAGTAGATTACGCCACAGTCGATGAAAACGCGGTGAATGGTTCTGTAGTAGCAGCAGTATCTGTAATGGATCCTGACGAAGGGCTTAATGGAGAAACCAGGGTGGAAATAAAAGCAGGAAACGAGCTTAATCATTTTAGTTTAGAATACAGCGAAACATTTCACATAGTAAGAGTAAATGGAATATTAGATAGGGAACATATTAACAAATACAATCTGACTATAATTGCAACGGATAAAGGCACTCCACCGAGAACGGCTACTGCATTTCTGATTATTCATGTAAATGATGTTAATGATCACGAACCAGTTTTTGAAAAGACTGAATACTCTGCTATACTGAGTGAACTGGCTCCACCAGGTACATATGTAGCAGGGATCACGGCCACAGATGAGGACACTGGTGTCAACGCTCAAATATATTACGCTTTCGTCTCAGGGAATGATCATCTTTGGTTTGAAATGGATACTAATTCTGGATTAATAACTACAAGAGCACCTCTAGATAGAGAAATACAAGGAACAGTTGAACTGAAAATATCAGCACGAGATGGGGGGCCAAATCCGAAATGGGCATACACACATTTGAAAGTTATAATATTAGATGAAAATGACGAAAAACCTAAATTTTCTCAAGAAAAATTAAATGTGACCCTGTTAGAAAGTAAGCCCGCAAACACCTTAGTTGCAATGCTGACGGCGGTTGATCACGACCAAGGAACCAACGGTAGTGTCACATATTCCATAGATCCCGATTCAGCAATGAGGTATCCAAATGTATTCAATCTCAATTCTCTAACAGGAAAGTTGACCATAAATACCAAACTCGATAGGGAGTCAATATCACATTACGAAGTCAGAGTAATAGCCAAAGATCAAGGAAATCCACCACAATCTTCAACAGCCACCGTATTTCTCAGGGTTCAAGACGTCAATGATAACAGTCCAGTATTTTATCCTCAAGAGTATTTCGAATTACTGAGCGACAACCACCCAATTGGAACCTCTATAATTAGGGTTACGGCTAGTGATAAAGACGAGGGTGAAAATGCTCTATTAAAGTTCCACATCGAGTCAGGAAGTGATGGTATATTTCAAATCGATGAAAAAACTGGCGTGATAAGTTTAAGGCAACACATTTCTAACTTACAACAAAGCATGTTTAAATTAAAAGTCTCGGCAAGAGACAAAGGTGAAAGGAAAGCAGTTGAGGACGCAGTCGTGGAACTAATCAGAGACACGCACGCATCCCAGCTAGAGTTCGATTATGGAACGTACACGTTTAGCATTCCAGAAGATCACGACAAGAAGGAAGCAAGAATAGGACGTAAAGTAGGTCGTGTGCAAGTGAAACAAATGCAACCAGAGTTAAGATATTCTATTGTTTTCGGTGATCAAGAAAGAAGTTTCAAAATCGATGAGAAAACCGGTGAAATATTTACGAAAAATAGAATAGATCGAGAATTATTTCCTATGTACAGTTTAACAGTAATGGCCAGAGCGGGAATATCATATGGGAAATGTACTGTTAATATTACAATTTTAGATGAAAACGATAATGCACCTTTGTTTAAGAGACAGAAAGAACATATTACACTACCTGAAAATGCAGCAGTAGGCCAAGAGGTGTATCTTGCCATGGCTAGGGATAAGGATGCAGGTACAAATAGTCAAATCACATTCAGCTTGAGCTCGAATCCCGACGATAACTTTAGGATAGTAGATACAGGTGTCGTATATTTAAACAAACCAATAAGGGTTGAACCAGGAACGTCATTAAGTCTCGAAATCAAAGCATCTGATTCTGGAGATCCTCCTTTATCTTCAAGGCATACGGTCATCGTTACAATCGAAGATGTAAACGACCATACCCCCATATTCGACCACACATCCTACGAAACTTCACTACTTGAATCAACAGCAGTCAATGACAGGTTTTTCGCATTAGCGGCTAGTGATGCAGACCTAGGAAGAAATGGGCTCATATCCTACTTAATTACAGAAGGGAATTCGGAAGGGAAGTTTGGAGTGTTTCCAGATGGTTACATGTATGTAAGAAGTCCATTAGATAGAGAGAAAAAAGATTATTATTCATTAACACTAATGGCAAGAGACCATGGAAAACCACCGAGAAGCTCAATCGTTCCAGTCGTAATCCATGTCATCGATGAGAATGACAACAGACCTGAATTTACGAATGAAACGTTCAAGTTCTATATTCGTGAAAATGAGCCTCCGGACTCATTCGTTGGCAAGTTGACAGCTACAGATAATGACATAGGTCGGAATGCAGAGTTGACTTTTTCAATTAGTAATGCTAAGAATGATTTCGCTATTGATCCCAAAAATGGTTTTATAAAAACACTTCATATGTTTGATAGAGAAGAACTTTTGGAAAGAACAGGTCAAGATTTTATAACATTAGAAGCTACTGTATCAGATAATGGCATCACAAGATTGAAGGACAAGGTGAAAGTGGACATTTACGTGACTGATGTTAATGATAATCCTCCTGAATTTTTAAGGTTACCATACAAAGTTCAGGTGTCGGAAGGATCAACAGTTGGCACCCAGTTAATCAGAGTATTTACCACAGATGCCGATGATGGTTTAAATGGAGACGTGTTTTACACATTATCAAGTGGAAATGAAGAAGGCAGATTCAGTATAGACGAAGCAACAGGTCAGATCACTATTGCAAGACAATTGGATCGAGAAACAATGTCCAGGTATCAGCTTACAGTAGTCGCCCATGATGCTGCAATAACCGGTCGTTTAAGTGCTATTACTACAGTTCTAGTCGATATTTTAGATGAAAATGATAACGCACCAGAATTTACACAAACAGAATCTAATATTTTTGTCAAAGAGAATACGCAAGTAAACACCAAACTGATGGAGTTTCGAGCATCTGATGCAGATTCTGGAATGAACAGTGAAGTTTTCTTTTCCATTGGAGGAGGAAACAGGCGAGATACCTTTCATGTCGATGCTGCCACTGGTTCATTATATCTTCATAAAATGTTGGATTATGAAGATTTGAACATTTATGTATTAAACATCACAGCGTCGGACGGAGGGAATCCGAGACTTTCAACAACCCTACTTTTCACTGTTAATGTAGAAGACTGCAACGATAACCCTCCTGCATTTACTAATACTGCTATTGTGAGGCAAATAGACGAAAGAATTTTAGAGAACACTCCTATAGTTACGGTTACAGCGGAAGATCCAGACTCAGGAACAAATGGAAACATAACATACTCCATCATAAAGCAAGAACCAGAAGATCCAAACCATCTAGAGAGATTACATTTCCAAATAGATCCCAGGACAGGTGTGATTCGGACGTTGCTTCCTATTGATAGGGAGGAAGTAGATACATTCAGACTGACTGTTGTTGCTACAGATCAAGCGGAACCTCCATCAGCAAGGTTATCGGCTGAAAAATTAGTTACAGTCATTGTGGAAGATGTCAATGATAATGCTCCAATCTTTGTATCAATGACAGCAGCAGTTCTACTCCCGCCGAGATCTCATGGTCAAAGAGTCACGCAAGTCTTAGCAAGAGATTTAGATTCGGGGACAAATGGTCTCGTAACGTATGACTTAATCAGTGGTAATACAGACATCTTCAGAGTGGATAGAAACACTGGAGTGATATCGTTGAAGCGGTCGATTCCCGACCCTGAGTCGAGATACCAGATAGCGGTAAAGGCCACAGACGAAGCTGTACAATCAGAGAGGAGGTCTATGGATGCCTATATTACAGTATTATCTGTAGACGGAGAGGGTGGTTTACAGTTTGAAGGAGGAGATCTGTTTGGGGCAGTGGCAGAAAACGAACCGCCGGGATACAGTATAGTGCGCGTGCGAGCGAGTGGAGGACCGGGCGAGGAGATTGAGTTCTATGTGACCAATGTGACCAGTGAGGGGAGGCAAGGTGACCGCCTCTTCGACATAGACAAATCAGGAGTCTTGTCTACAGCTGCTGTTCTCGACAGGGAAACAGGATTCGAAGAGTACCTTGTCGAGATCTACGCCATCGTAGTCAACTCGCCCAAGCCTAGATCTGGATCCACACAGGTGAGCTAATATTTATACTGCTTGTTGTATTATAGAAGTAGCTCATAAATATTTGTTTAAAAATGAAATGAGCATATGTTTAGTAAGGTTGCCGGCATATCGATCCATGTTGATGATCCACATTACCTAAAATATATCTTATTTATTCTTAACATTAGTTGTACCTTTTTACTAGATGCATCTTTACCACTTCATTTATTTTCAATCCCCTCTAAAAAAAAAAATTAAATCCTGAATCTGGGATTGTCTGTCAGTGTAACAAATCACAGCTTCTTGCCCTTTCAACGACCACTTGTTAAAAACATTTCAGAAGTTCAGTTTTTATTTTAATGAATGATCCTGATGTCTTTAATGCATTATTCAATCAATGGTAAGCTGGTTTTGCCATAATTTAAATAGTTATTTTTTAAACTGGTGCTAAGAAAGACATTCGAAGAAGTCTTTAAATGCATATTTTGGAGTTAAAAATGGAAAACCAAGGCGAAGTGTTAAGAGAGGAACAAAAAGACGACTAATAATGTGTAATTAAGCGTAGGCTATCCGGCAGAGGTACGTGCGAACAATGACAGGACCTTTGGGGTACGTATGACGGCGAGGACAGGTTTCCCAGGAGTGTTAAGGCGTCGCTCACGATCGGTCCGTTCCACCGAGGTACAAAGGAGACTTCACACCTGGGCGATACCTGGCTGGACTTTGCCAAAGATATCCAGGTATTGTCCCCTCCGCCTTGTAATTTATAATGACCCGTTTCAGCCTACGTCAAGTAACACCTCAGGGTGTGTCAGCCAGGGTAACTATTAGTCAATTCTCGGAGCACGCTATATTTTCGTAGATATCACTATCATTTCCAAATTGGACGATTTTTTTTTCTTACGAAATATTTTGTGATAATTTATAGTTAGGAAACCTGTGGTCTCGAGGACGAATGTGACATCCTAACGTTTTTCCACGGTATCCGTCAATCTCTCAAATTAATTACTATTTAATTATTTAGGATACGAAAATTTGAAATTAAATTAATTATAATTAAGTTGAATATATGTATATGGGTATGTATTTACTTATTAAAAATAGCTATAAAAAATTATTGCGGCCTCCATTATTATTTCCTGGCCTTAAACTCTACTGACAAAACGGTTCCCCCTATGCTACAAATAATAGCATAGTATAGATCTCTTTTACGGCTCTCAAGGGAAATGGACTTTAATGAATGAGGAATCAAACTAAGGGATTTCTTGGAGATTTTTTAAGATAAAACATTATTACAACTAAAATAAAATACATTTAAAAAAATGGGAGGTTTAAAAAATAAATGGATCTATACTGGATAAATTCTATTTTAAAGATATCGACGTAGCTACCTGTAACCGGTATAGTCAGTCCAAAGCTACCGGGCCCTGTGATTAAATGTAAAAAATGTACTATTTTTGGTATAATCGTTATCTAGTTGATATCCTGTTAGGTGATATGGTTTCCATGGGATAATTTATCAAATGTTTAAGTTTTAAAAGTGATAATTTTGCTAATTATGGTAGTCTTGTACGAACTCATGATTATTAATAATTTTAATAAATTTACAGAAGAGGTAAATGTAAGAGGATAGCTCTATGATCTCTTTGACAGTTCGGATAACATGAAAAGAGATTGTTTGATATTTTTAATAAACAAAAAAATCTAGGTGTTCTTTAATAGAATGGTTAAACACGTTTTTTTAAAATGTTGGTTTAACACTAAATTTTTGGAAGTTCATTAAGATCTAGATATTTTTATAATTACTTTAATGTGTTATAAACTAAATGGCTCAACGGATAATACTCATAATATATTGGTGAGAAAAGAAAAGACAATATAAGATTGGAATGAGTAAATGCAATGAACCATGAGAGGGAGGAACTAATTTAAATCAAAATACTATAGAATTACTAAAAATGGTCCGATTTTGAAGATTAAATTTTTTTTTTTTTTTAATCAATGTGAAAGTTAAGTTTTCTTTTCTTCATACATTTTACATGGCTTTTCTGGGCAATATTTTTTGAACCTGGAGGAGAAGAGATGACCTTTAAAATGATTCAATCATTGAATGTGATAAATAATTAAAAATATTTTGCGTACCTACAAAACAAAAAACACCTATGAGAAATAATATACAAAGTTATTGTAAATTTTAATATTGTACAACAAATCTTCTTTTTATAAACAAAATTATTGTTTTATTTATTATGCCAATACCTTCTATGACTGTCCGGGATATTGACATAATAATTATGCTTTAATAGCTAGTACATATTTTATTGCTGTAGACTGTAAAATTAAAGGAGTTAATGGACTGTAAGTAAACGGTAAGGTGGGAGGCGGGGTGGCCGAATGGACTAACGAGTGAGCACAGCACCGCCCTCACCCCCTGGTCCGGGTAAATCCCGCATAGCCATTCTAGCGTATAGAAATTCCTGATTTTCATTGAAAGTAAAATGTTTTTCATATTCCTTGTTTATATTTTATAAACCATCTTCAACTATTTTTTTATAAATAATCAAGTAGGCAATAAATTAAAAAAAAACTTTACAATTTACTAATGGAAAAAAATTATAATGTAAAAATCTTTAACTGTTGTGTATATTTGTCAGTCTTTTTCCCATTTTTCTCAACAAATTTATTATTCTCGAAATACTTTTCCTTAATTTTTGTAAGTAGTAGACTTATATTTGTCTAACTTTTGTCAAACATACGAGACTACCCTTACTACTAGATAGATTAGTTTAGCTAGGCCTCATAATTATTGTACATTCCTGATTTTCATTAAGTAAATAATTTCATGAAAGTAAATAGTTTTTCATATCCCTAGTTTATATTTTTATAAACCATTTTCAATTTTTTTTTTTAAATAGTTGAGTGGGCAAAAAATTAAGAAAATAAAACTGTGCTAAAATGGTCAGTAATGATTGAACGTGTAGGATTCATCATGATCGGAACAGTCCTTGTCAGTTTTGGGACTTTCATTCATGACTGATCGTGTAAGGTCCGCTTGACATCTGTGAGTTGTCATCAGTATGCCCACAGACGGAAGCAGTGCTGCTCGACTTTAACCTAATCAAATGGGAAGTTTGCTATGTTCCCTTGACAGTTATAAAAAATAAATGTTTTCCTTTACTGTAAAAATTCCTTAATATGACACCAATTTTTTTATATATGGGCCTCTGACATATGTAACGCACACACACCTTACATACACGCAGACTCAGTGGTGGGGAAGAGGCATTTCTATCGGAGACGTGCGGGATTGTGTAATAAGAGGCAGAAGGACAGGAGATCGTGTACTAAAGAGACAGGGGTTGGACTGCTACCGGGTAGCGGCCTTCGTGACAATTTGCTACTCTCGGATCCCTGATCATTCCCACACCTATCCTTATAGAAGATATCCTTACTTCCTCTTACTCAGCATCTATTGGCCATTTCTGTTTCACGTTAGTGTACTGGTCTTGATGTTTATACCCGGAAGGGTTGGGCAACTTCATATAATCCCCTGGAATGTTTAGAGAGGAAGCAATAATGGGCCCCGGCACTTACACTTACGAACATATATTTCCTCATAAATATCGATTTCTGCTCCTAGTTTACAGTATAAAAAAAAATCCAAAATATTATGTGAATATCTCTTCTAACCAACTTGTGTATTGACAGGTTTCAAAATAGTTTCTATTTCTTTTGTTAATTTTTAATATATTTTTATTGAGAAAACCAAGTTTAAGTTGAGTCGTAGGAAAAGTATTTAGTTGTGGTAGAATTTCAGGAGTAAATTATTACATTTGCAAAATGGATTTATCCCGTGATTATCATGTCTGCTTTCCCACAATAATTAAAAAAACAAATATTATTGACTATCTATCTTGATTTCAAGATATCGTTATGTTTGCTCCAAATTATTAACACGGTTTTAATCAGAAAAAGAAATACACTGATCTCGATAATTTGGTGAGGGCCATACAACATTACTTACAGAACATTTAATTGAATTTGGGATGGTTTTGGTGTCATGTAGAGTGGATTGTATGAATAGGGTATTTCAATAGTACCAGAAATTAAAATTGAAATAAAAATAATTATATTAAATTCAAATTATGAATACAAAATAAAATTTGTGTATCATGACTTAAAAAAAAAAGTGGTTTGTAATATTGTATTGTTATGATTAGTGTGAAAAAAATTTAGAAGACGAAAATTTGAATCTGAACTTTTTTTGACTTGCGATTAAAATGTCTAGGCATTACATCTCCCCTCCCCCATCGTTTATCCATCTGGTTGTTTAAGTTGTGTTTAGCTTATGGTGGATTTTTTTTTTTTTCACAATCAAAGACTAGACAGTTCATAATGTTTAACTTCCATGGGCTGAGACTCATCTGTTCATGAACTGGTGTGCAAAATGTAGGCAAATAGAATGGTGGTGAGCACCATTTTTGGGGGGAGGGGCTTCATCTCGAAAGGTTTTTTTTTCATATATATATATATATATATATATATATATATATATATGTATATATATATATATATATAACGATAGTTACTTTGGAAAAAAATGAAAGATACTAACTACCTGTATGAAATGGTGTTTAAGTGATTCTTGAAGTCTTTTTATATGTAATTACACAAACAAATAATACTTTAAGTGATAATATTTTTATATTTTTTCCATAAAACATGGTTACATTTTACCATTTTGTGGGAAGGAGAGGAGGGGAGGGGACTTCAGTCCAAAATTCCCCCGTAGGGCCGCCTGTGGTGGTGAGACCTGACAAATTATATATTTTATTTTATTATTTTTTGTTCTGCGGTTGTTTTCTGAACACCCACAAATAATTTCGGAATAAATGAATATTATATCATCAGTGAGGTCTAATAATAATTTTAAAAATAAATACAGCCCATTAAAGGTTTTTTTATATTCGGACAAACGAGCGGTCCATGAAATGAAAACAACTGCAAATACTTATTCATTACAAAAATTAATACTCAAA